AAAGTTCAGTGACCTATTTGACACTTTTTCCTATTTAAAATAATACTAGTAGCTGATGAAAGAAGCTGAAGCTTTGTGTATCCGGGAGGCTTTAAGCTGGTTGAAGAATACATGTATGGGCTGTGTGGATGTGGAAACAGACAGCCAAATTGTTTTTAATGTCATTAGTTCGTCATATTTTAATTCTACTTTTGGGTTCAGAGTTGATGATATTAAAAATTTAGCATTGGAGATTGATGATGTTAAATTTTGTTGTGTTAAGCGATCTGCGAATTGTGCCGCCCACTCTATTGCTAGGGAGGCTTTTTCTGAATCAGGTTGCGGGGAGTGGCTAAACTCTCCACCATATTTCCTTGTAAACGTTCTTCTTTGTGATTTAATGAATTAATCTTTCATCTTCAAAATAATAATAATAATAATAATAATAATAATAATAATAATAATAATAATAATAATAATAATAATAATAATAATAATAATAATAATAATAACAACAACAACTATTACTACCAATTTTATTTAATACTATTATAATTTACTAGTATTTGTCCCGTGCGATGCACGGAAAATATGTTATAAAAATATACCCTATATGAGGTTTATTCATATATAAAATTTTTGTTATTTAATAATTATTATGTGTGAATTCCTATGATAAAATTATGAACATAAATATATTTACAATTAAAATAATATTTAAGGTGGGTGATTACTACAAATCTTAAACTATATTAAAAATTTAGACATAGTATTTAATATTACAAATTTTTAAGAACTTAGTAAACTACCGTAGTAATTGAATTACAATTTTAGAGTCACCACGGAATAAAATTTTTAGACCTTTGAGATTTCTAACTCTAGATGTAGCAACATACAATTGACCTTTAAAGACCAAAATCACAATCTTAGTTCGAACATTGATTTTTCTTCCAAATACTATCGGATTAAGTGTGTAATCAATAAAAGATGAGAACTAATAATTCGAGAATATAATCTTAATGTTACTAAGCCTACTTCACGTCAATTAAGTTGGAGAGTGTTGTTGGATAGTATCCGATGAATCCACGAATAACGCATCTTTGTCTCCGTAGTCCTCAATATGCACATCAACAATCTTAAATATTAGGTCGCCTAGCTATGCCATATATTAATTTCAAACTTATGAACTTTGGGGTTGCATGCAATAAAAAGTATATTTTAAATATAGTAAGGGTACATTATATATGTATGTAAGGTACTTTCAATATAAAAATAATGTATTTTTAATATATTAAAAGTGTATTTGATATTCATGATCCATACAATTATGTGGACCATCGTTCACACAATAATTTGCCGGTAGAAATTGAAATATAAATAAATATAATAAATAAATAAATAAATATATATATATATATATATATATATATATATATATATATATATATATATTAGAAACTGTTAGTGGAAATTATTATCATTATTATTATTGCAATTATTATTCTTATTGTTATTGTTATTATAATTAACAATATTATTATGGTCTTGTGAAAATTAAATGTTGATTATCACCATTTAATTTTCACAAGACCATATGGCTTTATTATATATAGGATAGGATAGGATTGTATTGTACAAACTTTCTATCTAATTTGTAGTTTATTGTATCATTATAATTCAAAATAATAATTTTTCCCTAAAAATTAATTTTCAAGGAGTAGGTTAGATATATCCATGTTTTGCTATTATTATACTTGTATTTGTATTTGACACTATTTTATTTTGGTGTTGTTTTTGAGAAAAAAAAAAAAAGAGAGAGATGAGGTGGAGGAGAGAGAAAAAAAACCCCATGCAAATACTTGGGTTTTGGCAGACCAATGGGACCCACCAAATGTTTTGTTCTTCTCGTCCCTGGTCGCATGAAAAGGAACGAAGCGTGCAGCCGGGCGCGTTAATGGCTGCTTTTCAGTTTCTTTCTTTCTTTTTTTTTTTCATTTTTTTTCCAGATTTATTTTGTTTTTTCTTTTTTTATCTTTCTTCCAATCATCTCTTTCTTAATCACACCTGCAAAAACTCCTCAAAAACTGCAACTATTGAGGATGCTCTTATTGTTGTTTAGATGTAAGTATGTCATAAATAGTTGTATGAAATTTTAATGAAAACAAATTAAGTTTAGGAATTAATCGTGTTAATTCGTGTATTGCCGAGTTAATTTGAAATTCATGTTAGTATTTGTGTGCAAAATTTAAAATTAGTATTTGTATTTGTTTATGTAATTTAAATTTAACAAATTAAATCGCGTTCACCTATAATCCAAATCCTTTTAAGTTCCAGTGGGGGCAGTATTGACTCTTTGTGCTTCAGTAGATTACAAAAGTAGATATAAACATATACTACATTATAATAGAGTCAGTAGTACTCAAAAAAAAAAAATCCAAACCCTTTAATTTATGAGAAAATCTGTCGTTGTTATTCGAAGTTAAGCACATTTCACACAGGTAAAATATGTGGTTTGTGACCTTTTTTTTTTTTTTTTTTGAAAAACCAATCTGCCGATTGTATTAATTAATCAAAGCTGTAATAGAGTCAGGCGGGATAGAATCCCAATACATAGAATGATCTTGAGCAAAAGCTAACGACGCCAAAGTATGAGCATGCAAATTAATCTGTCTAGGAACATAGCTTAACGAAACAGAATTAAATAAAGACATAATAGTTCTGCATTGGTCAATCATGACCCCAACATACAAGTGAATGGGTGTGGTTTGCTGCTGCATGGTACTCCGTAGAACCATATAATCTGTGAGAAGACACACTGATGAAATATTCCTTTCTATTAGCCAAGAAAGTGCCTCCTTATAAGCCAGTGCCTCTGCCATCAGTGGTGAGAAACAAAAAGGTGATTTTCCATTTTTTGCCGCTATGAAGGATCCCCCAGGTGATATCAAAACAATACTATACGTGGCCTCCCCGGTTCCTTATCGAAATCCCGCATCCACATAGCAACGCAGGTTGCCGTGCAGCTCCGGTCCAGCTTGTGGCGTCGGCTCTGGCAGTGAAAGGTGGCAGTGTGCACTGCCGTATGGCTGCACCGACGCTGCCGCTCCCCTTGCTACGTCGACCGGTCGCGCCATGGCCCCCTTCCACATGGCTGCATTGCGGCATCTCCAAATATTGTATAGGACCGCTATCATGAGTTGTGTTTGCTCCTCTGTTAAGACCGCCATAGCCCCCGTTAGCCATGTTGAAAAGGAATCTGTAACAATATTTGTGATAGGCAATTGTGTTATATTCCAAACTAATGTAGAATATTCACAGAGCACTAAAGCATGCAACACATCTTCATGATCTAAAGCACACATTGGGCATGCTGGATCCACCTCCACCCTTTTTATAATCAGATTAGTGGTAGTGGGTAGGATATCATATATTGCTCTCCACAAAAAGGTCTTCCACTTGGGTGAGACTTTCAATTTCCACATCTTTACCCATTTATCAAAATCACCTGGGTTATTCTCAAAATCACCAACAATACGCCTATAAGCATTTCTTACTGTATATGTCCCTTTTGGGTCTCTCATCCAATACCATGAGTCATTGTAGTTAGGGCTAACCGGGATCATAACTATTCGGTTCACATCCTCAGGGATAAAAAGATCAGATAGAATATGTGGATCCCATGTGTTTGTTTGTGGATCTATTAAACCTGCTACTCGTGCCTCTCTCAACTCCTCCGGCATATCTGTTTTTTATCAAGGGGCTAGGATTATTCGGCAGCCATGGGTGACCCCATATTAGAGTTGTCTGTCCATTTCCAATCCTACGTCGCACCCCAGCTGTCACTATTGGGTGTGCCGCCATTATACTTCTCCAATAGAAACTCGGGCAATTCCCAATAGTAGCATCAACAAAACTAGTAGTGGGGTAATAACGAGCCTTATATATTCTTGCTGCCAGTGATCCTGGATTCGTAAGAAAACACCATGCTTGCTTCCCTAACATGGCCAGGTTAAATGCTCTTAACTCCTTAAAACCCAAGCCACCAAATTTCTTAGGGACACACAATCTATCCCATGTCTTCCAATGTATCCCCTGTCCCTGCCGCTTCCCCACCAGAATCTGTTCATGGTTCTCTTAATGGATTGACAAACTGTTTCAGGTAACAAAAAGACGCTCATTGAAAACGTAGGTATAGATTGAGCTACACTTTTCAACAAAATCTCCTTACCAGCCTGAGATAATAACTTTTTATTCCACGATCCAATCCTTTGCCTGATTTTTTCCTCCACATAAGAAAAAACAGCTCTCTTATTTCTGCCCACAAAAGATGGGAGGCCAAGATACTTCCCAAAATTGGCCGCCTGCACAACCTCAAGGCAGCCTGCTGCTTGCATTCTGTCCACCTGTTGAGTATTTCGGCTAAAGCATATATTGGACTTGTTATAATTTACCACCTGCCCAGATAGCTTCTCATACCTTACCAAACATTGTTTGACGACATCAGCTTCCTGAATATTTGCTTTGAAAAAAAGCAGGCTGTCATCTGCAAAGAACAAATGCGATACTGGAGGTGCCCCCTTGGCCACTCTACACCCATGTATTGATCTTGCGACCTGTTCTCTTTGCAACAACATTGAAAGCGCCTCAGCACAGATAATAAAGAAATAAGGGGAGAGAGGGTCCCCTTGTCTAAGTCCACGAGTCGGTTTTACCCGCCCCCCTACTTCACCATTTACTATCACAGTATAATTTACCGTTGTCACACATAGCATAATAAGCTTGAACCACTTCTCGCTAAACCCCAGGACAACCAACATCCTTTCCAGAAACGTCCACTCCATTCTATCATATGCTTTTGACATGTCCAACTTTAGTGCACTCCAACCCACAACACCACATTGTTTCCTATTTAAGTAGTGCCCCACCTCTGCCGCTACCAAGATGTTATCTGTAATTAACCTGCGGGAATAAAAGCACTCTGGGATTCTGAGATGAGATCACCCATAAGTGTTTTCATTCTATTAGCCAACATCTTTGGCCATAATTCTATAAATGACATTGCTCAAAGCAATCAGCCTCAAATCTGCAACTGTTTCGGGCACCTCTTTCTTGGGAATTAATATTATGTTAGTATCATTCAGACCTTCTGGGAATACTCTAGAATTCAACGCATGCATTATTAACCCAGATACATCATCCCCCACCACTGACCAAAAATGCTGGTAGAAGCCCGGATTCATTCCATCCGGGCTCGGTGCTTTATCCGGGAACATAGAAAAAAGAGTTGCTTTAACCTCTTCCCCATTAAATGGGCGATCCAACATCACGTTTTGCTCATCAGACACATGGGGGGCGCGGGGGGGGGGGGGGGGGGGGGGGGGCAAAATTATCAAAGAAGGGATCATCACAACTCAAATTATTAGAAGCAAAAATACCCCTAAAATAATCCAAAATTGCCGAGTGCATATCTCTGCCTTCTACCCAATCACCACCATCATTTTTAATACTAGCAATAAAGTTCTTTTTTCTACGTGCAGATGCATACCTGTGATAGAACTTAGTGTTGGCGTCTGCACCACGGAGCCAGTGTTGCTTTGCTCGTTGTCTCCAAAACACATACTCCTGAGCCTCCAGCTGCTTGAGCTGATTTTCAATGTGCTGGAATTTGGCCAGAGCGACCGGATCCCTTGTGTTTCGGAAATTCTCCTGTTTCCGCCGTAATTTCCCAATCCGGTCACCAAATTTATGGAGCTGGTCCCCTCCCCACCGCATCAACTTCATGCCACAAAACTGCTGACAGTGCAGTAAGCCTTCCGGCCTCCCCTCCTGCCAAGCTGTCTCTACCACATCCTTACAACCCTCATCCAATAACCATGCCATCTCAAACCTGAATTTCCTCAGCCCCCTTACTCTGTGCGTGCAAATAGCATTGACGCTAAGAAACAGAGCTGAATGATCCGATGCTCTAGTCTGTAAATTCTCTACCCATGCGTTTTCATTCATATCCCCCCATCCATCCGTAATGAATACCTTATCAAGTCTCTCCTGTATCCAATTCAGTGTGCCTTTTCCTTTATCTCATGTAAATTGCCGGCCCTTCATCGGCATGCATCAGTCCACATCCATCTACGGCCTCCCCAAACCCCTGTAGCAGACTATTCGGATACGGGTTTCCCCTCATTTTCTCATGCTGATAAAGGAGATTATTAAAATCCCCTATCACCACCCATGGTAACAAGGATCTATCTCTCAAAGTACCCAGCAGGTCCCAGGATTCCTCCCTCCTGTTCCGATCCGGACAACCGTAAAAGCTTGTCATACGCCAAATCTTGCCTGTCAAACTGACCTCCACATCAATATGGTTAGGCGAGTAACTTAACAACCTGACCGTGTTATTTTTCTTCCAGAAGAGAGCTATGCCCCCACTTAATCCTTCATTATTCACATAAAACAAGCCATCATACCCAAGCCTGACACGGACCCGCTCCGCATGTATCCGTCCCAGCTTGGTTTCCATAAAAAACACAAACTCGGGCTTCTTACGGGACACAAGGTCCACCACTTCTTGAACTGTGCGTGGATTGCCCAAGCCACGACAGTTCCAGTCAACGTACTCATGATGACGGGCGGGGCTAGACACCAGCTCCCGCTATAGGCAACATCACCACCACTCACATCATCCCCGCTTCCCATGACGTGCCTTCAACGCTTAGCCGTAGCCACCAATACCTCCTCCTCAGACAAACCAGGTCGCATCCCACCCCCTCCTACTGGACCCTCCTCCACCGTTTCGGCCACCACTGCCCTAACCTCCATTGGACGTGGTTTCCCGCCAACCAGCACGAGCCAGCTATCCCCAACCGCTCTAGGAGCGCTCCGAGATCCACCAGCCCGCATATCCGGCCCATACGGGTACATTTCCAACGGGATTCCTGCTTCCCTAGCTCGTAGACATAAATTATGTAAATGCCCCATATATCCACAAAAATAACAAAACTTGTGCAACCGTTCATACCTAAAATTAACCCATGTTGTCGTTCTATCCCTCTTCATCAACTTCATCCTTCTCCGGAGCGGCCTATCAACCGGAATTGATACTCGGATATGATGAAAGGTTAGCCATGGTGCCCCCTCAAACCGGTCATCATGCTTAACAAAAGAGCACAAAAAATTCCCTGCCTGCTCCAGAATCGCCCGAGTTGTATACCCTTTTGGCATATCATGCAGCTGTATCCACATATCAATCTTATCCAGTTTCACATCCCCCGGGTTCACACCTTCCACAACCTCTTGACATACAAGAGCGTTGTTCTCAAACGCCCAGGGACCACCATTCAAGACATACTCCATATCTGTTTTATGGAAAAAAAAAACAAACAAGAATAACCCTCTTTGGATCTCCGTTACCTGCACCCCACGTACCGATTTCCACACAGAAGCCAACACCTGCCGCATGAAGTCTACCTTTACCATCTTCTGCGTTAGGAACCTCCCCACCACCTTCCATGCTTCCTCCTCCTCCACACCGCCGTCAGCGACAGCATCTCCCACCGGCGTGAACGCTGCCTCCTCCTCCTCCTGCAGCGCTCAGTCCGCCCACCGGTCCGCTAAAGCCGCGACGTCTGCCGCTGCCTTCGCCGACTGATCAGGCATCGTCTCCTCCCTCCGACGCTGCATACCACCGCCAGCGTCCCCGTCCTCTGCTCGCAAAACACCAGCCATCGACCGGTAGAAAATTACCGCTGTTGTTGAAAACCTAGGAAAACCCTAGTAGGAACTGCAAAAACCCTAGAGAGAATCTAGAGAGAGATTAATATCCACTCCCGTGATATCACTATCACTATATATATAATATAAGTTAATTAATCTATTAATTAACTCGGGGGAGAAAGTGTGGTTTGTGACCTTAATTTGATAAATAATCACAAAATTGTAAATTAATGTGCATAGGTAAAATGCACATTATGATCTCAACCCGCAAAGAAGTGTTCAACCTAAAAAAACAAATAGTTAATTTCATTTGTGGTCCTATGATTATTAGGCTATTGTCAATTCCAATACACAACTTTCAAAAAAAAAAAAAAAAAAAAAACTAACAATTTAATACCTTAACAATTCAATTTTTCATAAATTTTAGTCAGTATGGCCAAAATGCCGCCCAATTGTCGCCAACTTGTATTCACATCTCACCTGCCTCTATATTAATTCAAACAATGGTTCACAAATTATCTTTCATTTTAACACTGAATTAAAAGATTTCAGCAACAATTTGGCCGAACTGACTAAAATTGATAAAAATTGAAAAATTAAACTATTAAATTGTTAGTTTTGAAAGTTGTGGACTCAAATTGACAACACCTTAATAGTCATAGGACAAAAAGTGAATTTAACTAAAAAAAAATAAGGAATAAGGTTCAAATTGGCCATTGAAGGTAACATGAAAGTGCAAATGGGCCACTGAACATCCCAAACGTATACAATTTCACCTGATAGCAGGTTACCTGTTTAGATAGAAGGTGAGTTGACAATTTACATAATTTTTAATAATAAATTTTCAAATTAAAATTTAAATTAAAAAAAGAATCAAGAAAAAACTTAGGGGTAGCCGGTCCTCCTTCGTCTCCGGCAAAAACAAAGGAGGGGGAAGGGGGTGGCGTAAGACAAAAGACTTGTCTCACGCCATCCCCCTTCCCCCTTCCCACGTCTCCGCCGGAGACGAAGGAGGAGGGGGTGACCGGCGGCCACCCAAAGTGTTTTATTATTATTTTTTTAATTTTATTTTAAAATTTATTATTAAAAATTATTTAAATTACTTACTCACTTTCCATAGGTAACCTGAGTGAAATGGATGGTAACCTGATATTAGGTAAAATTGTATACATTTGGGGTGTTTAGTGACCTACTTACATTTTTTTTTTTTTTTTTTTCGTTCAGTGACCTAATTGCACCTTCAGGTTAGGTTCAGTAGTCAATTTGGACCTTATTCCAAAAAACAAATATACAATTGTTATGAGAAGTCTATAATCAAAACCCGATAATATGATGCCTAAACACATAACTAGAACACGAATTGGGCATTGCCACATCACCAGCAGTTTGATTTGGAGAGCAGAAAATGGGATGTTAATATTAACCACTCCTTCTGGTTTATCCGGTAGCTAAAACTATACCGACGAATGGATCTTCAAGCTCCCTGCTGCAACGCTTGCTACTCGCTCCACCGCCCACCCCAGCTTCACGCGCCGCCGTCCTCAGTTAAGTTCCCTTCAAGCTCCTCCGCCAAATGCACCCGCAAAACCACTTCCCAGCTTCGAACCCCCGCTGCCGTCGCCGCTCAAAACGGTAGCACCTATTCCCCTCCTTCTAGCGTCCCCACTCACAAAGTCACTGTTCACGACCGTCAAACCGGCGTCGTCCACGAATTCTTCGTCCCGGAGGTTTTTTTATTTTTTATTATTTATTATTTATTTATTTATTTTATTTTTTTTAATGTGCAGATAAAATTCAAAAAAGAAACAAAAAAACAAAAAATTTCAGTGCTCCGCATGTTCATAAATGCAGGATCAATACATTTTGCATACAGCTGAGGATCAGAATATACGGCTTCCCTTTGCTTGCAGGCACGGTATTGATTCTATAATCACTCAAGCTTCAACTCTCACTTCGTAATATGGTGATTGAATGTGTGTAAAATCATTTTAAAATTAGCATAAATAAATGATTCTTTTTATTGTATCATTGTTATGGGTAGCGTTTCTGTTATAAAAAAAGAAAATTGTGCTGCCAGTTTCTGGAGTGCAGAAGTAGTGGAATCTTTTAAAGTGAGAATGGTTATCTAGATGTGAACTATATAAGTCTTTTACTTGTGTCTTATGCATTTGGACAGTTCAGGATCTGATTTTATTCCCTTTTTTAGTTTTTGATAAAAGAAAGAAAGCACAAATTCAAACAATGTTTAAACTTGATAGAACTCTCAAGTCTGGGTTATTGTGAAGAGGAAGTGCAATGTCATATTAGAACTTGACTTTTAATTTTGGAGTCCTAATGTGATAAGGAGGAGGGCATTAGTTTGACATAACAATTTGGCATTTTAACTTCTTACTTCCTCAGTTTGTAGAGAATGAAATGATGGATGTATCATTTATTTATCGGTATGATGGTCAATGTGATGACAAATTTTTACTCTCTGATCATTCTCAATGTTTTTTTTGGGGTGAGAATGGACTCTGTTTTTTATTTTACTTTTAATTTTTTTAAATTTGTTTTTATTTTTAATTTTTATTTGGATTCATCTTGAAAGGCTTTACACTCTAGATTGTTGGCTATATAATAGATGGTGAGGGTTTAATCAACTTGGGTACTAGTTTTAGTATGTAAATGTCACAAAAACAGTACAGTATGTATTATAGACGTCAAATAATACAGGACTGTGTATGGTCCACTAATATTATTAACTTAAGTGTTTAGGATTGTTGGTGTTTAATCCAAGTACAAATTGAAAGAGACTAGAGGAGCAGAAGAAGGGAGTAGAGATGGAATTGGGAGGAGAAGAACCCTAACTAGTCCCAAGACTTTCTTTTTATACCAAGACTCCAAGAGTGGTCTTGGTATTAAAAAGGATCAGAAACATAAAAATCATACAAAAGCTTCCTTCTTGGTGTTAAATAGGGAAGGGTTTTATTCAGTTGGTCGTAATTACTTGAAAAAGCTCTCCAACAAATATGCAAGTACAACAAAAATGGATTTTTCTGCTTCTTAGGCCTCATTTATGCCTTTTTATTTTATTTTATTTTATTTTATTTTTCTTTACCTCGTCTTTGATATATATCCTGTTGCGTTTCAAGGATACTAGAAATTTTATTTGACCTCTTATGACTTCGTTCACAACTCTTACAGACCTCTTATGACTTCGTTCACAACTTTTACAGTTATCTCACTCCGTTAGTAGTCTCTTGTAGTTGTCAACTGTAGAGTGTGATCCTGTATGATATCTAACTACTGCAAAAGATTTCCACTATTGTGGGTGTCAGAGAAGCTTTTAAATTCAAATGACACAGTAGTAGTTTGACTGGAGAAGTATCTCCTGCCTTTCTTGGTCAGGACCGGATACACTTTTAATACTGTCTTGGACTTAACAAGAACATATATGAGTACAGTTATTTTCCTTCCTTTGAATGTCAGAAGATGTAGAAACTTTTTGGCTTTCTTTTCCCATATTTGTCACTCTCTTGTAGAGTGAAGGCATAAATATTAGTTTCTCTCAGTGAACGTTAGTAGCACTGAGGGTTAGGGAAGGCTAAAATGTGGAGATTAGAGTTGCCTTAACGATTTAAAGTGCGTAAGTTTGGGTATTTTCACTTTTGACTTTGACTTTCCTTGTTTTGTAAGAGTAGTCTTCAGTGCAATAGAGCTCTTCTTGATCAAATAGGAACTTGATACTTATCATACTTTATTTATTTCCCAATTCTTGAGCTTAACTTTTTCTGTACTATGGAGATTGTTTTATATGGTAACTACTTGCATCTTAATAATCCTATATGTTGAAGGATGTTGTACTAGCTGTGCCGTCCGTGTAAAATCTGGGCAAATAAGACAGCCTGAAGCATTAGGGATTTCAAATGAATTGAAAATGAAGGTAATATACATCTTTTTCTGCTTTGATTGCTCTACTTTTTACAGGCTTTTATCTTCCCCTAACTTTACAAAATAGTGAATTTGGTTTCTTTTTGTTGGTTTTATGTATTATTTAAATTCCATTGGATTAGGGGATGTAATTGTGTGATTATAGGAATCCTTGGAAATATGGAAACATTGTACATTTGTACCTTCTCCTGTAATAAATACAAAGAGGCTGTGGCACAATTCTTTCACGCTTTCTCAACATCATATCTCTCTCTAACCTTATTCTATATGCTTCTCTTGTCCTATCTAAAAAAATTATGGGTGCCTGTTTGATAAGAATTCTGGATTCAATTTTATTCATGAGTAATACTACCTGGATGTTTTCACAGCGATCACTATATTGTCTATGGAGAGAAATCTGAAAATTTGTTAATCAGAAACTTGATAGTCCAAATTAAATTGCATGGTTGAGGTACTCTTGCAATTTGGTTTTATGTTTTGAGTTAAGCATCTTTCTTAACAGATCAAAATAGTCACCTGGAAGTTTTACTCAGTAGGGATTAAGACAGTATATGAAGTATAGGATGGTTGTCTTACATCTAACTTTAAATTGCTGAAGTTTTTCCTGGTATAATTACATTCTTTGTTTTCCTTGATTTTATTTTTTGCTTTTCGATCTTACTGATAATTAATTTTAGTGATAACTGATAATGTATCTTTTCTGAGTTATGTATCTTTTCTGAGTTGTAGGGATATGCTCTTCTGTGTGTGGGTTTTCCATCAACTGACCTTGAAGTTGAAACGCAGGATGAGGATGAGGTAAATGAAGGGGGAAATAATTAAAACATACATTCAGTTTGAGGAACCAATGACCTCATTTGTATTATTTTCAATCAGTCAAAATTTCCCACCAGCTCAAAAAGTATAAAAACTCATGGGGCAAAGTTTTATCTTGTTGAAATTTTTTTAGGATAAATATGTTTCCTCACCATCAATTTAAACAAAGGTCTTAGGTATGAATTCAAGAAGCTACCCATACTCAAAACAATTTCGTATGTTTAGCGCATAAAAAAGTTGGCCTGCACTAGAGGGGGCATGCTGTGATAAATATAAAATATTACGGAGTATATAATTTATATGTATGGCCTCATGGCCCTCATTAACAACTTAAACTTTTAGCTGAGATGGAACACCTCATTCAATAAACTGTTTCACATTTATTTTATTTTTTTTAGTTATGTTTATTATTGGAATGTAGTGATCTGAGATCATGAGACCTTGCAGGTATATTGGCTCCAATTTGGAAGATATTTTGCCCGAGGACCTATTGTAAGTAATACATAGTATTTGTAGAGTCCTTGAACAAATAATCTTTTCAAAATTGTTTAGGAAATGGAAAGATAAATAATTATTATGGAAGTGTAACAAGAAGGTTTGTTGTATTTGCTTCTTGCAGGAAAGGGATGATTATGCACTGGAATTAGCAATGGCGGATGAATAAGCAGCACTTAGTTGATTTGAGGAGATGATATGGAATCCAACAAAATATGTATAATTTTCTTTCCTTAATTTGTATGTTAACTTTCCATTTTCTCACCACATGTTATGCTGATGTGTTGGTGATTTTTGTAAGCATTTAACATTTTGGCTTTAGTTTTTCTTCCCATTTCCATGTCAAGTGCATCTTATTGTGAAAGCATTGAGACAGTTTTCTCTCCTTGTTTCAATGTTTCATTCAATTGGATTTCAACTTTTGTTGAGGCTTCCATTAATTGTATATTGACATGTGGATAATCATTGATAAGATGTGTAATTTGTCTTTTTGATTGCCCATAGATTGGTGCAAAGGAAATTCAGGATGGTATTATGTTATAATCTGACTCATTAGTTGCCAAGGGACCAGTATGTTCTGGGAGTATACAATGCCCAGAAAACAGTTTGACATACCCCAAGAATCTAGGAAGAATAGAAAGAACAGATGGAGACAATTCTTAGGGTGCACATGAGAGAGCGGTTGGAGTGGTCCAACCATTCACTGGAACGCTATTTGGATGAACTGTAGTTAGAGTGATACCGTTTCAACCATAAAATTTCAATTGGAGGGTTAAAGGTCTGATTGGAGCAATGCGATTGGAACAATCCAATTGCTCCACTTATATTGCTGCCACTCTCTCAAAGGGAGCCATAGAAAAATATAAAAGAAATGATTTTTAGTACTAGATGAAAGAAATGAGATGGTTGCCCATCTATTTATTCTAGTCTTGTCCCAAATCAAATGGTCAGAATTGGAGGATACACTTAGACATGATGTTTAAATTGGTGGTGTACTCGTGTGTGCACAGTCAAATGATATGCAACTCCTAATCTGTAAAGTGTTGCATACTTGCTGGCATGGCACTATTCATACTTTAGTTCATAGAGAAGAGTCTAGTACTTTGGCATTATCTCTTGTTACCTTGACAAACTGCACAACTTTGTACATAACCATTCATGTTTCCCTTTAGTTGTGGCTAAAAATATTGTTCTTCAATGATCAATATCTTTTGTCTTGCCCCAAGCCACCTCCTATGTGCAACCCAAAGATCAATTTCTCATGTAAAAATTCTCTTGGAATACATAGATGAGAAGTAAATAAATGTGCCCTCTGCATCACTTGGCTACACCCTTCCATGTGTTGGAATATCTAACTCACCTTATCATTTAGATGGCCTTAATAACAATGAAAATGGACATTAACATGTGACTATGGGAGTCACAAGTGTGCCAAATTCTGGCTTGTCAGCCTGTCATAGGATTTAACAGGCCACAAGCTTTACTAGGTTGTTGGATTAAATATCCAAGTAGATTGAGCAGCAGATATTGGCAAATGCCCATTGTCTTCTCTGTGATTGCTATTTGATAAGGTAAAAGAGAGGGCATATCCACTTCATGACATCTTATCAGTCTTCCTTGTGGCAGATGAATGATTTACTACTAGTTTTGTATGATTTGTATATAGATATCTCAGTACCATAGAACTTTTTTCTTGTTGCCCATCTTTGCCTTTTAGAAGCACAAGCAATCTGCTGCCTTAAAACCATGTTGTTTCTCTCCACTTTTTTACCCTTGATTAGTTTATAGTAACTATATAAGCCATTACAAAGTGATATGTTGTACACTTCTATAGAGTAGACTAGAGCTTAAATAAAATGGACTTGTGGAGGTTGATGAGCCTCCAGTTGAGTAACTAGATTGCATTTATCCTTATAGTCTAACGTTATAAGCTTGTGATTCTTAGATAAGATGTCAAGTTCAATTGAATCAATTCCCATTCCTCTCGGATTTACCAAAACAAGAGGACTTTGTCCTTGATTTTATCAATTTTAGCTTTTTATGATAACCCTTGAAAACACCAAGTGTCGCACTTTAAGGCTGATGTTGGGTGTGAAAAATATCAACTCTCATGAGAAATTTATGGTGCAAAGTTGAGGAAAGATATTGCTCAAAAGTTTACGAGTGAATGGGATAGCTTTGCTCCACTGTGATATGACAGTAGACAACAACTTGTGAGCAAGTAGTTGATCACTTCACTTAAATCCTGTTGATGATTCTTGAAAGTGGGGCATTTCAGATATTATCTGTTCCTTGGTATTGGGTCTCACCTGAAAGATCATCTTTTGTCACAGGAATACTTTGTGCTTATCTTGTGTTTATCTTATTGCTATTTGTCAGATTCAAAGTTGCTAGTTTTGAACTTTGGTCTTCACTGCTTTCTTCTACAGGTCAAAAGGGCAAACCTTATTGTTGCATATGAGATACTATCTCCATTCTTATGTTGCGGTCACAGTTTTTATTTTGAACTGATATGGGACATTACAGCAAAGTTCATGTATATTTGAACTAACAAGTCATTGGATATAACATTATTTGCAGATTCAAAAGGGCAAAACTGCTTTATTTGTATTACAATCACGCGAGAAGAAATAACTCAATACATGCAGCAAGGAGAGGTTTCCTTTGCTTGTGGAAAGACACATCCAATGGTACAAGCTTAGCGGTTTCACCTTTCAGTTTATTACTTCTGGTCGTTGGTGCTTGCTGAAACCTGTTATGCAATGAACTTGACATTAAATGTGTGTAGAACTGTAGAAGTGTATATGCACTGTTATGGATCTTGAGTGTGTGTGTGTGTTTTGTGGGTGGGGGGGGGGGGGGGGGGGGGGGTGTTTCTCTGTCTTGTTTGAAAATTGTCATTGTTTCACAAACCTTTCTTGTCACAGTTGCAGAGTTGTGTGATTATATTGATGTTGGATTGCATTGAATAATTCAGTATTTGAGTTAATGTCACCTGGGGTCCTCCGAGTATAGTGATTTTGCCACGTTTAGTCCTAAACTTTCAAGTTAACTACCCCTGGTCTTTCAGCTTTCAAATTTCAACCAGTTGTGGTCCTTTCAGAAGTAATGTAAAGGAAAAGTCGTCCTTTCAGAAGGATCACAGTTGGTTAAAATTTGAAAATTGTAGGACCACGGGTGGTTAACTTGAAAGTTTAGGACTAAACGTGGCAAAACCATGTACTATACTTAGAGGACCCTAGATGGCATTAACTAGTGTCACTCAAGGAAAATGATGCAAGTATTGTGTTAATGAATCTTATACATACCCCCACTGATGTCACAAAATTGCACACTGCACATTTCACAGATCTTGCTCCATATTGATACATTAGTAGCATTCTGCAGTTGCCACAGTTCACATGTGCAACCTGGTTTGCTGTCACAATTACATTCACTCTTACATTCACAATAGCTCATCAAAATATGTGTGTTATATATATCATCAAATTGCACTTTACCTTCCATAGCTAAGTTGACAGTGTGGCAGCACGAGCACTGCACACTCGTTGCTCCACGAATGTACATTAGTAATGTGTGGCAGCCACCGCAGACTAACTGAGCCATTTCAGTGCCTGTTTAGGGGTTAAAGTGTGGAAAGAAGATCGGTGAGGCCTCCCTTCAACCATTTAGACAATCGGGAAAGATAACGAAGGTTACAATTCACAAGCACATACCTGGTGGAGGTACTGCTGTGACTGCATTGCACACTGCACAGCACACAGAGGTTGCTCCGACTGGATACATCAAAAGGTTGCGACAGCCAGAACATACTAGCTGGCTTTGTGTACCTGCTGACCATTGTATCTATTATCAAATATCGGTTGAGGGTGTGGAACTTATCATGAATCAGAAATGTTCCAATTCATCATATCACAGTTAAGAATATAATATGCGTTGGTGTTTCTGGACTGTTGAAAGCCTGAAACTGTCTATACATGGTAAGAATGACAAAACATCCTTTGCAGATCTATTTTTACTACGAATTGTTGTTAATCTGGTATTCTGGTTTGTTTATGAGAATCTGCTATTGTACCCACCAAATCTGTCACTTAATTCTTCCCAAAAACTTGAAAAGGCACAGAAGTTAGAGTCTCTTTACATGTGAATTAAACAACTCAGGTTGACATTGTGAGTTGGAGAAAGGATTTGATTTTCTGATGGTGGCATGCTCAAGAATGGTGTTTATGTTCATACCTGTGTTACGTTTTCCTCTTACAACCCACAGGCTAAAACTGGTAAAGATAAGATGTTATATACCATTTGCAGGTGGCATGTATGGTGCAGGGGGTGTTGGATATGGAGCAAGAGGAACTGGCATTGTGAATCTGAAAATGGTAGGCCCTTCTCTCCCCAGATCTTAAAAGCTTGCTTCAGGGACATGAAACACACCAGAACTCATCTTTGTTTTGTCCTGGAAAAACAACACATGGATAAAACTTGCTTAAGTCAACAGAAAATTCTGAGAAAGCAGCTCAGGGATTTGAAAAGTAATGGTATGACTGAACAGAATACACATATTACACACACACACACACACACACATATATAAGATTATAAGAATATATTTCATCTGGTCCTCAAATTTCATACATGAAGTAATATGCATCTCTTGGGGCATTGAAGAACAGAGAAATTTGGTTGAGAGCTGTGAAGTGAGTGAGACACACTCCTTGACAGTGGAGGATGAAAGAGAAAAAGAATGGTTTTCTTTATAATTTTTTGGTTGCTTTTTGTGGCTTTGTGCTGGGTTGGAGGGTGGGATTGGTGTTTTTATGAGAGGTTTTAAAAGGGGGGGCGGTGTTGTTCTGTAAGGTGCCACGATGCTATAATTTTTTTTTTTTTAATAATCATACTTCTTGATATATGATTTTTCGTAATACCTGTTACTTTATTCACAAAATTCAAACTTTAACAGTTTATTTAAAGGAAAATCAAATCTCTTTCACTCGAACTAGGTTGTTGGTGCTATCATTTTCACTATGGCTGGATAGGTTACAGTGACTTCTATATTTCTAGGTGATATATCAAGATCAGCTTTATCAGACAACTTAGGGACCTCCCCTTCTGTATCTCTCTGTCTCTCTGTCATGCAAGTATAGAAAATCAAAGTCATTTGGACAAGATGAATCTCACTAAAATAACCCAACATGATTAGTCGATGATTAAATAAGAACGAGATTTCTCTATTCTGACCATCAACTCAAATGGTGTTTCCCTGGAATCTCATCTAGGAATACGGAATAAGATTAGTATGTAAGTATTTTGTGTACATGAATGATATTTGTGCATTTTCTCCTTTTTTTTTTTTGCAGGAGTGAGTTGGCAATTTAGACTAGCCAGGTGGCGCCACGTGTGCTGGCTGAACCAGCACATCCAGTTTGCAGCAACTGGGAAGCTTTTTGGTTGGTGGTGGTCCATGTGTGTTCTTGCCATTCCTGTGTGCCACAACCAATGTCCCTTACACTTCCATTTTTCCCTTTCCTTCTGTCTCTGTCCACTTTTTCATTTTGTAGTTGACATTAAATCTGATTTTACCATTTTTCATAAGCAAAGAGTCTCACATTGAAAAATAAAAATAAGAGAGAAACATATGAGTTTATAAGTTCATGGGTTAAACTAGCTAATTGATTGAGTTCAGTCTTTTAATATAATTTGGCTTATGGGCATTACAGCCTAGTTGAGTAACTTTAGTCCAATCTTAGATTATAACATGTACCAGTGCTTGCTTAGTCCACTTTGTGTTCATTTGATGTCTGCCCATGGTATTGGTGGCGTCTAAGCTTTCGTTTAAGGGGAAAGCTTGTTTGGTCCACTTCACCCGGTTGTCCGTGGCGTAACCCATGAGTTAGACTAGTTAATTGATTAGATTTAGTCTTTTAGTATGGTTTGAACCATGTGTATTACAACTCAGTTGAGTAACATTGGCCCGATCTTAGATTATAACAAATAACCATATGTTTTTGACTTGTGATTTGCAGAATTGCAGCTTGGGTGTTATGAAGTTGCAAGGTATCCATCTCAGCAGGTAAAAGAGAGGTTTGCATTGCATTGCTGTGTTGTGGATCTGTTTGGGATTGATTCTTGTCTGAGTTGAGGTTACATACACTTTTTAACAAACCTAATTGATTTATTTTTGTACTAATATGGCTTGTCATATATGTGGTAGCAAATTATACCATGGATCATTGATAAATGTTCATTTTTGATATACTAAAACTTTATTTTTAATGTACTAAAAGTTCATTTTTAGATAGTACACTAAAAATTACTCAATATACTAATAATAAACTTTTTTAAAAATGAATATGTAATACACTAAAAATCAACCTTCAATAAGTTGAAAATATACATGTATGTTAATGGTTTACCTTACAATGTGAATCATGATCCACAGTATAACGTATTACGTATAAGATTGTTATGTGGTAAAATGGGTTGATGGTTTTGACACAATTATTTGTCTAAAAATGTTTTAAATTGGACTAAAGTTCTTGTTTAATCCATTTTATAATTTCGAGGGTGTTTAGTTCAAGTTATGAGTTTGAAAAGAAAAAGTATCTTTATTTGGTAATAAATACAAATTGAAATAAAAATAAATAAATAATTAATTAATTAAAAATAAATATATAATACATATAATATATATGTGTGTGTATTAAAATTTCATATTTATTGCATGGATAATGGCTTTCTTATTTTATTTTATTTTTTCATTTTTTATTCCATTGATCAAAAGTGGGAATAAGAAGGCAGGTAATGCGGTTTATACTTACTAAAAGTTTTGAATCAAATAGTAGAATAACAGATTTGAATTTTGTGAAGGTTATCGTTTTCTTTGATTGCCAAACGGTTTGTAATTTCTTTAAAAGCTCTTTGTCTGACTATACTTATACGGGTTGTATAATCAACAAGTGCCGGGAGTTTCAACGAGACTTTGATTCTATGTCTCTTCAATTTATTCCTAGATCAGTGAACACAGCTGCTCATGCCTTGGTTAGAGCTGTATGTTCATACTCTGGTCCCCTTAGTTATTTCAATTCTATTCCGTATTCCGCATTGTATTGAACATTTGATTTAATGAAATTTGGTTCCTTTGGTTTTCAAAAAAAAAAAAAAAAAAAATGCAAACAAAATATGGTAAAAAAGTATCAAAAGTATGAAAGTCTCCGATCAAATGCCACTTGCTTTCTTTTATGTTGAGATCACATATTCGGACCCAACACTAATTGACTAATAGGCAACTAGTTTTCACCTTTTGGGTTAGAGAAGAACTCATGGCTGAATATAATACATTTTAAAGAAATGAGAGTTAAACTTGAAGCAACTTACATAAAATCTATTATTATTATTATAATTATTATTATGTTAATGAAGTATAAGATTGTTGTCATTTAATTTCGCCTCCATTATTATTATTATTATTATTATTATTATTATTATTATTATTATTATTATTATTATTATTATTATTATTATTATTATTATGTTCTTGAACAATTGTGTAACATAATAATGTACTCCATGGGTCAAAAAGAGTACTGGTGTTCTATATTGTTTGCACCACGTTCCATGTTACTTCCTAGGAAAACTATCCGTCTTGTCATATGCTACAATAATTATATCATGGACCATGGTAAATGTAGTAAAATTTAAGGCATTTATATTTTGTTATCTCATTTTTTTTGTATCACCTAGGTTTCTTGACTTTGTCGGATTATATTTTAGACCTCATAAACCTCTCCAATAAGTCCATAAGGAGGTAAATCTAACCAATATAGCTTTGAAGTTCAACACCAAACTATACATTTCTGCGCACAAGGAGTCCAACTTAAATCCAAACCCAAACTTCGAATGTTTGTGGCAAGAATCCAACATTTACCCTACCATTAGATCTCAATTTCACCAGATTAGTTATATCCACTATTTTTCATCTCCTTTTAGGTTGAAGTCACATTTACTCTACAAATTTATGATTAATTCATTATTCATAAAATTTTCGAAGACCACTATTTTCAAAATCAATTAGTTTACCTATACTCATTAAATAATTCACACAAAATTCAGTAACAATATCCATATATATTCAGGTAAGTGAATAAGTGATGATATTCAAAATTTGAGTGTTTTGAACTTTGGATAATATATTAATGAGAATATCGATAGTGTTGGACAACATTGGCATTGTGTTGTACCTGGTACAATCACGTAGGTGTAACGAGTTATATTAAGTACTGTTGGCACTAATATTGATATTATTCGATACACCTTGCTACATCTACGTATTTGTATTAGGTACAATACAACAACAATGCTAATTACTACTTTAAAATTTTCATATATTAATATTTGGTCATCTTAACATGCCCATGGAAGACCTCAAATTTAATTTCATCCTATTTGTATCATATTTTAAAAAGAGAAAATAGTATGTTCTAATTAGAAATTATATGATAAAATTTGAAGTCAAACCACCATCTGAAAGTTGAAAATTCATATACTTTACCATCGAATTATACACGAAACTTATAATAATAAAATTAAAATCAAAAAGCAAAAAAAAAAAAAAAAAAAAAAAAAAAAAAAGAAAGAAAAAGAAAAAAGAGTGAGCCCAGTGACTCAACTTGGGAATCTTTATCCTATATATGTTGAGTCATAAAATACAAAAGGTATTTATTAACTTTGAATGCGTATGTACAAATAATGCAATGTAAGTTGGACTATTGTTCGACATCTATATATTTCTAGTACTCTATCTTCAGGTTGTATACCTTTTTTTTTTTTTTTCTTTTTGAAGAAGGGTGCATACTTATTTATTTATCTATTTATGATTTATCATTTTAAAATGAATTATAATATGAGAATGGCCATGGGTGGGAAAGAGTGGGAATGAGTGATAGAAATGAAATGCTCCTGAGGCATTAGTTTAGTGGATGAAAAGTTTTACTTAAAACTTGTTTCTTGTAATAGGGTGGTGGTTTGATCCTTGTCACGAACGTTGAGAGTTTAGGTTTGGGTTGGACTCATTATTATGCATAAAATTGTACAATTTGGTGTTCATTTTCTTCTTATATCAGCGAACAAGCTTGCTCATGCTTTAGCTAAAGCTGCTCGTTCTCAGTCCGGTCCTTCTTGTTGGTTGTCTTCTGTTCCTTCCTGTATTGAACACTTGTTTTTAATGAAGTTTGAAGGAGTTTTTCTTTCAAAAAACAAAAGATGAGTAAATTTTATTTTATCATTCAATTATAAGAGTTTACTGTTTACATGAGAAGGAGAAAAGTTACTAATGGAAGTAAGATACTTAAATGATAAAATTACATGTTAGTCATTTCTTACTAAACGATTGAATGACAAAATTTTAAATAGAAGACTAATTGTGACAATTAAATAAAAGGGAAAAATGTAATTAGGTAAAATTAAAATAGTATGACTAAATGTGATAATACCACAATAGTCGAGTGCTAAAATTGAAAATTGCTCTTTTAAAATAATTTTTTTTTTTTTTTGTGTTTCGATATAAATTATTTTTATATAATAGTACTGCCTCAATCATATAACCCAAAGGTTAAAATACAATAACTATATTCTATGTTTGGAACTCAAAAAATATTTTCTTCAAAAAATGACTTTTTATTATAAAATATTTTATTTTTTTTATATTTAGTTGAAAGTTAAGAAAAATTTCTTTTAGTTTATTTTTTTCAAAAAAATGAAAAAAAAAAATCTGTTACAAAGTTATTTATTATAAAATATTGTAATTATTTTGATTATATATATATATATATATATATATATATATATATATATATATGTGTGTGTGTGTGTGTGTGTGTGTGTGTGTGTGTGTGTGTGTGTGTGTGTATCTAAACTAGGTTTTTGGTGACAAGTGTGGACCGATTTGATCCATCCATTTAGGATGATCAATGGCTAAAATTGACGGGGTCAATTTTATAAAGGTTAGTATAAAGGAATCAAGTTAGAGATTCCATGCATATATTTCTTTAATGTAACAACTAATTAGAACAAATTAAATTTGTGTGTTTTTTTTTGGGTGCAAACTAGCAATAGTAACTCAATTGCACATGAGATACTACCAACAAAAAAGAAGCAGACAAACAATGAAGACGAAGACAAGCAATGACAAACATATCCAAAAGTGAATTAACAAAACTTAAAGTAATTCAAACCAAAAATAGTACTTGCTACCTAATACTATACCAACTACAATAAGTATTTAAATAATTATTTTTACACAAGTGTAAATTAAACATTAATTTTAATGGCAACTATAATTAAATTATCATATATAATCTTGCATTGATATACTTTGAATTACTTATTTAAATAAAACATTGGACATTAAATCTTATCCCAAAAGGCTGAATCCCCAACCCTAAGGGCCCCCACACTCTGATCCGACAGAGCATGTGGGAGGATGTAAATCACGGTGACTCAATGGGTTAGTAAACAGGGCCAAATGACGGTGCACACAAGGAATCTGCCCACTTTGAACATAATTCCCACACTGCCACCGCCGAGGTTCGGACATTGAACATTAAATCAGTCGCGCAATGCGCGTGTAAAGCAAATAAGAAATTAAAATTAAATTAAATTAAAAATTTTCCACCTATCAAGAGATTTAAAAAGTATAAAATAAAAAATAAATTCATTTAACCTATCAAGAGATAGAAATTAAAGGTACAGATCAGTAAGGGAGGATCCTATTAAATTGTGTCATTCTTCATTAAACTATTTACCGAAAACTCTGTTTGGTGTTAAACATCGTGAATATAGGTATGTTCCACTTCTGTGTTTATTATATGGTTAAATCATGGTATGCCTACCAACAACAATAACACAATATATACGCAAAGATCTAGGACAAAAGTACGTTTAGGAAATGGTTGTACACGTGTAGGGGTGTTTGGTAGAAAGGAATTCACACATACATACACATATATAGGTTTAGGATTTTATGAGAACAAAACTAATAACTAATATCAGCTTTATATCTGTACAAATCGAATGGACATATTAAATTTTAAAAAATGTGGTGATGTTTTTATAATTATTGTCAACTTCACTGCAAACTTGAACACTTAAATATGTAATATGTAACAACTAAATATGTAAACCTAAATAAATTTTAAAAAATTAATGATAAAGCTAAATTTTAAATCTAAACCATAAATGTTAGACCCTTAGCAGTAAAAAGTGAACACTAAGCCAAATAAAATAAAAAAATCCAGTCATAAACTCTAAAATTGAAACCCTAAGTGCAATGTACTTTCACATTTTTGTAAGTGCAATCTTTTAATACTAAATATGCAAAATGTTAATACTAAATATGCAATATGTTAATACTAAATGTACAAACTTGGAAAATTATGAGAAGTGCAAATTTTAATGTTCAAATTTGCATAGTAAAATTAGTGATAATTACGAAAATACCATCACAATTTTTTAAAATCTAATTTAGTCCATTCAATTTTTCTAGATGTAAGACTAAGATTGGTTCTTAATTTTCTCCTAACAACTTCTTATTATATGATTCAAACACTATAATTAAAATTCTTAGTAATTCTATTCTTACAAACCAAACAATTAAATATAAATTTCTATTTTATTCTCACCGAATTACAAATTTTTTTCTCGTAATTCCTATTTTAACCAAATGGGGCAAGGTTATTAGAATTGGGCGTGAACATATAACAATGATAAAAAAACCAATGATATGGCTGAGGCCAGAAGCAACATATAACCACTGTTATACCATGGATCATGATTCATCTTGCATTGTAAACCCTAGTTTAAAATGATATTTAGACTATGCTCATACAGTTAACATATTATGTATCTTCAGTTAATAAATTATGTACCTACTACAATTAACATATCATGTATTCGTAGTAAACAAATTATGTGCTTGCAATTAATATATTATATACCTACCGTTAATAAACTATGTATCCATTACAATTACTACACAAAAAATATTATGTACTTATAGTTAACATATTATGTACATGCAGTTGATAATTTATGTACCTGCATTTAAGATATTATTACCTTTAATTTATTTATAGTTACATAATTTGTTAACTGAATGTGCATTATATGTCAAGTGCAGATATATAATCTGAATATCGTTTTGAACAAGGTTCCACAATGCAAAGTAGACCTTAATCCATGATATAATTTTCCATATAAACCCTTCTAGACCCTTGCATTAATCTAAATGAAGTTATTAAGCAAGCTCTTCTAGGTACCAACATCTATCCAGGTACCAACATCTATCCATAGGGCATAGATGATATCGGTTATAAATATGGAGGTCTTACTTCAATGAAAAGTGAGACTTTTTAAAATTATGATGATGTTAGATTGAAGAATGATATCAGTAGAGTATAATTTAGGGTGAAGTCTCCAATTATAAATTTTAGGAAAAATGGTACTTTGTACCTCTCCATAATATGTCAATTATCAATGTCATTTCTGAATTATTAGTGGTGTAAATATTGTCCCTCTTGTATCATATGTGAAGAAAAAAGAGGGGCAACATTTACACAACGGGAGGGGCAATATATGTACCGTTTTAAAAATTGATGGGTAACATTTACATCACTGATAATTCATGAGTGACATTGATAATTGGCATATTATGAAAAGATATAAATTACAATTTAATCATTACAATCATATATAGTTTGGTGGATTTAATTTACTCGGGGCAGCCCGAATTACTAAACCAGATAATAATAGGAAATAAATAAAAGGGTAAAGACAAGGAATATATGTCGCGGAGACAATTCTTGTATTGATAATAGTTTGTAGGAAGATTACAAATAGTTGTAATAATAGAACATGAGATTAGTTGTCCAAAACAAGACAATAATATGCTTTTTTTATACTAAACTTCCTCCCAACCGCCCCATGAGAATAGAGTGTGTGGTTGGATCGCCCATTGACCGCGTCCGCGCGTGCCGCACTCAAGGCCGAAGGCACCCCGGCTGAGGCTGCCGCTAGTCGAAGGCACCCCATGCCGAGATCGTCTCTAGCCGTGGACACATTGGGCCGAGGTCACTTTAAGCTGAGGTACCCCAGGCCGAGGCCCAACTCGACAGAGGCCGCCTCTGGCCAAGGCACCCCAGGTCAAGGTTGCCTCCATCCTAGGCTGCCCCCAAGCCGAGGTCGTCCTTCCGGTCGTCTCCTCTTCTCTTTGGATTGATTTGCTCTGAACCCGTTTCTAATATATCCATCATAGTTCATCCAGAGTCATTAGTACTAAAAAATATATATATATTTCATCCAAACAATATTATGATAGTATGATACCGTAAACTAAAATTGAAAAGAAGTCAAAACTCAAAGACTAAAATGAACTAATTTTATAATCAAAGACCAAAATGAAAAACTACTCTTAAAATGGGAGGCTATTTATGAATTTAACACAAATGATAATATGGTCCAAACATGGCCAGGCCGCCAGGGTACTTGCACTGACTTTATGGGCAGTCAGCGTTCAATAGTCATTTTCTGTATAGACGGCAACTAGAGAATGTGGTCCTCTGCGAATCTAATCTGAAAATCATACTCATCTTTCAACATTACTTTTTCATTATTTAATATTTATTTCTTCATGAAACTAAAAAGCAATTCCAAAATAAAAATGAGAAACTGGCTCTGAACTTTATAAAAAAATAATTAATGCCATGCGCTTTAGAAAAGAGTTGTGACATGATAATTGGACAAGTTACTAGACTCAATCTGATACACTCTTGATCTAACCCGTCAAGGCGATTAAGACAATTAAATAGTAATAGCCAATAGAACAGCTACACTAAATATAGAGCCAATGCATTCATTAGAGATTATGGGCCGTTTGGTTCACAGAATGTTAGATTACCTTAGAGAATGTTAAATTACTGGGAATGTTAGATTTTTGTGTTTAATAAAAATTGAGGTATGTAATATAATCATGTTTGGTTTTTAGGGTTATCTTTTATATATATATAGAGAGAGAAAATTTCAATTTTGATCCACAGACTATTGTACTTGTGTTAATTGTAACACTTGACTATCAAAAATGTTAATTTAGTACATTAACTATGCAAATTTTATCAATTTTAGTTACGCCGGCCAAATTACTAGTCAAATATGACCGAAAATTTTGAAGTCAACAATTTAACTTTAAGTGGGAGGACAAAATCGACATTTAGCGGCACTGTCCCCATGGACGACCTGGAAGGGGTCGAGGCTGGCCATTACGAGAGGCTCCTGCTGAAAGTTGTGGCCGGAGACGGCGGTGGCCCCGATGGTACGGTGGCGGCGGAGGCGTACATTGTGCACAGGAGCTTCGACGAGGGGCTGTGGAAGAGGTGCGGAGGAGTCGGGATCGGAGAGTTCACAACGGAAATGGCGAGCGAGTACCAAAGAAAGGAAGAGAGACCTCCGGGTTTCAATTTTCTGAAAGATCTCAAGCTTTTCATTTCTGGTGTTGAATAAAATACTTTTTTAATTCTCTCATTTCCATTTGATATGAACAATGTATACAGACGAGAGTATTCAATCAATATCAATCCGTGCATCAGAAAGACATATACAGAGAATCCTCCTTAAACACCTCAATGAAATGTCGATTTTGCCCTTCCATTTAAGTTAAATTGTTGACTTAAAATTTTCCGGTCATATTGGTCGGTAATTTAGTCGGTGTGACCAAAATTAATAAAAATTACATAGTCAAGGTACTAAATTAACATTTTTGATAGTCAAGTGTTGCAATAAACACAAGTGTAATAGTCAGTGGACCAAAATTGAAATTTTTTCTCTCTCTCTCTCTCTCTCTCTCTCTCTCTCTCTCTCTCTCTATATATATATATATATATATATATATATATATATATATATATATATATATATATATATATATATGCATAGTCAAGGTACTAAATTAACATTTTTGATAGTCAAGTGTTACAATTAACACAAGTGCAATAGTCAGTGGACCAAAATTGAAAAAAAAAATTTCTCTCTCTCTCATATATATATATATATATATATATATATATATATATATATATATATATATATATATATATATATAGGGTGGGGTTCTAGTGAGGTTTATGTCTAAGGTGAGGTCTAAGGTTAAAATACCACCATTAGATTAGATAATCTAACGGCCCAAACGTGCTGACCGGATGGAAATCAAACGCCCCTAACACGGCTTAATAAAGTAATGGGTAATGAAGTTAGGTGTTAAAATTTAATGTCTAATTAAGTTGGGGGTAAAGAAGTAAAATGACTATTAATTGTGCAATACTTAGATGGAAAGCCCTTAGTTTACGGGTCTTCACGCGTACGGTTATAGAGTGCAAATAGGAAGGAGAGTTGTCGGATATGCACATTCCAGAAGCTTTGTAGAAGACGAAACGGCAGCACCCATGACCAACTCCTACCGGCGACTTCAACACCGTACCAATGGCGGACGGAACACCCAGGCGAAGCAACCTTCGTCATACGTCAACGTTGCGCATCGGGCAGGTACGACTATTATGCCCATACTTTTCACAAGTTTGACATTGGCGTTGTCGACGCCCCGACTTTTCAATAGCTAATTCCCTTGAACTTTTGTAACGTTTGCCACCACCCTTGTTATTAGAGATTGGAGGAGGACGAACATTAACTTGACCATCTGGCGAAGCACCGCAAAACGACTCAAAAAGTTGCTTCTTAGAAGAAGAAGCACGAACGGTAGGACCATTCTCAGCCAATAAAAAAGCATTGAAATCTTTTAGGGCTGCATTCAACTTGGTAACATGATCAACACTCCGTGAAGCCAGGGTCACGCACGAAAAAAATTCTGCCCAAGCTTCACCAATTGCGACATCTACCTCCGAATCGCCCCCACGTTGAACACCCAACACCTGTCGCACACAAGCCCCCCTTGTCTAACGTGCAATCACATACCGAGAAGGGATAGAAACAACCCTACGATCCTTGAAAATCCAAAAAATATGATGACAAAGTAACCCAACCCGTGAAAACATGTTACACGTGCACTCAACACCATCATTACCAGAGTCAAAACTCACGGTGCGCACCGGGCCATCATCATCTTCAACCTCATACCGGGTTACCAGCCCTTCAACATTTGAACGCACAGCACGACACGAAAAAGATCCCGCGATAACCTCGGCTTGCACATCATAAAAAACATTAATAGTGTACACCGCAGCCGCATGCTTCTCAATCAACATCGGAGTCTGGCACAAAGGAAAATGGCCCTCACACTCGGCATTTAGTTTGGCCTGCGCCAAACGTTGAGCATCAATAGCCCCTTCAAAATTGTTGAACAACTCAGACAAACTAGCATGCTGGTTTGTGCAACTACCAAACACACTATTCGCAGCTTCGGACCTCGATGTCGTGCGAAGCAATCCACCCATGAAAATATCATTAAAATACGCAGGGATCCAATACGATCTTAGATCATACATAAGACGAAACCATCGGTGGTCACCAAGGCTATACTTTTTCATAACGTCCTGCCACCCCCGCTCAAACTCCTCCACGGACGACGTCTCACACCAAACAACATCATTCAACGCGCGCCGAAACTCTTCATCTTTAGATAGAACATTACAACCTTCTCGCCAACCTTTGACATAATATGCCACATACAAAACCTGTGCCGCGTAGTATCAAACACCTGAGGGACTGCAACCCGCATCGAAGGATCTTGATCAGTGATAGTGCAACTAGGCACACAACCCATTGCACTTTTAAATTGCTGGAGAAGCCACACGTAAGAGTCCACATCTTCACGGGAAATCAACCCCATTGCAAATGTGACACCTCTCTTGTGATTATCAACACCAGTAAACGGGACCAATACCATACCATACCTGCAAGATATAACACCAAACCAACGAAAAATAAACCCCATGGTTTTTAGCATACTGCTTGCACAAATACATAACAATACACTGCACATACCAGTAATAAAAAAAAAAAAAAACAACTACAAGAAAGTTTTTTTTTAAGAACACGTGGCTTACCTATTAGTCCCATAAGTTGCATCAAACGACACCACCTCTCCAAAAGCTGAAAAATTTTCCTTCGCAATAGGGTCAGTCCAAAAAGCCCTACATAACTGATCCTGAGAATCTACATCATATCTAAAGACATAATCCGGGCAATCATCTACCTTCTTAGCATATTTTTTCACAACAATATGAGCATCTGACGTTCCAATAAATGCCATTAAATCACGCTTCAAATTTTTAAAATTGACACATGTCGCACCAACATTTGAATACGACCCAGCAAACTCCCTAGCCAAACGAAACGACCTATTGGGCCCAACGTTGGCCCTAGCACACTTAAGCACAAAAATCTGATGTTGCACATCCATGGAACGATTACCCCGCAAGAAAGGCTTAGCCACATCCGAGCACAAACAATGATTATGCCGTAGCTCAATGAAATGAACGACAAAAACCCCATCGTCACCCATCTTCAACACCAACCTCGCTCTGCACCCCACCCTATTTGAAACACGCCGGCGCTTCGGAGCCACAGGTGCTTGATCCAATGCAGCATCCACAACAACAGAGCTCTGCACCGCCTGCTTGAACCCCTCACGCGAACAAACCAACACGTCTTTCACAGCAACACCCTCCCTATTCCTACGCAACGAACTACAACGTACATCAAAACCAACGAGCGACGCATACTGACGATAAAAATCAATACCGTGAGCGAGAGAAGGAAAAGTCTGCCCCTGAAAAGGCCTAACCGCCGCATCACACGAAGGCGTCCAAAACTTAGTCCCATCGGGGGACACGTCCATAACACACCCTTGCTGCGAATCCGACCGTGCTGCACACACATCAAACAGAAATATACACACAAACACAAACCCGGTCAAAATAAAACGGCATGCATATCATTCCAAGAAAAAAAAAAAAAACAAGCTGCTTGCACATATCAAATAACACAAAATGCACTTTACGAAGAAAACCCCTACCCCCTACAACCCAAAACCCTTCAAAGCCAATATAAAATGCAAAAGCCATGTACACCGGAATGCACAAAACTAACAACATACTATCTTAACAGCGAACCAAATCCCCGGAACACACAAGCAATGTTGTCATCCCACCACCGAAATCCATAAATTAGCAAAACAATCTATAACGAAACACATATGCCAATGACACTTATTAAAAAACGAAAACACGCACACACCGAATACCAAAGACATGCACTTTATGAAGTTACCACGCACGACCCACAGCACAAAAACCTTCAACCCAATACAAAATGCAACAACCATTTACACCGAAATGCACAAACTACCACGGCAACATCCTACCAACGAACACAAACCCAGCACACATAAGCCATAATGTCAAACAAATACCGAAATGCATAAATTACCAAAACAAATTAAAACGAACAACATATGCCAATTGCAGTTATTAAAAAATGAAAATAACAAATACAACTACGACATAAGATAAAACCAACTACCCAATCAATAATCCAATACCCCAGACTTATATATAAAAATTAAAACTCCATAACCAACATAAAACCACAGCACCTAGAACGCATGTCATACAAATAGACACATACTTATACACAAACCAACCACTACCCGATGCTCAGAAAAAATATACAAGAAACAAACGGAAAAACTAACCTGGAGAATCCATAAGACTTCACGCAGAGAGAGACGAAAAAATTGAAAAACTATGAAACGATGAAAGGAAAAATCACAAAAACTACAAACTGTATAAAGTGGATTACTGCATCAGAATATAAACGCTCAAAATCTTTCTTTACCATGTATAACACTCCTAAATATGAGAAACTCACCCGACAAAGACACCAAATAAATAGGAAAGAAAAATACAAAGACAAAAAGGTCCTCACACACTCACGCGGAAAAGGAAAAAAAAAAAAAGGACAAAATAAAAACCCAAATCAACACCAACCATAGATCACCGCAAAATCAACGGCCAGATTTTGACCTTAGACCTCATGTGGGAACATGACCTCATATGATCCTCTATATATATATATATATAGGGTCCGAATCAGGTGAGGACCTAATCTTAGGTGAGGACGTGAGGACTAATCTAGACCATTAAATCAGAATGATGTATGATTGAGATTAAAAGAAACAAATCACACGGATTAAGAAAACAAATCCCTTTAAAATATTAAAATATATAAATTTAGGGTAAATCAGTCTTATTAAAAGATGTGCGTTTATACAAAATGTTGTGCATTCCTATACTGAGTGTTGTGCATCAATAACTTCATTGTTGTGCATTCAAACCCCGCCAAAAAATCATACAGTGAACATCCAATGTTATACGATGCATTGAACTATGTGCTATAATGCACAACTCCCTAGCCTATAGTGCACAACTTACAACACTAGGTTGCACAATCAGCACACACGAATGCACAATCGTACTACCCAGGCATTTATACATATACACGACAATCCAAATATAGACAATATTATACTCAAAAGAACAAGCGAAAAAAATAAAAAATACTGATTAGTTTGCATGGGCGAACACTCAATCAATGATGAAGAAATCGCGGCTCCAAATTGCAACGATGATGATCCAAGAAAATAGAAAACCAATTTGGCCAAGGATTGTACATGCGTTCACACTTAAAAAAATAGAAAAAGACACTATTATCCCACTTTAACAAAAAAGATCAATCCATGTCATCTCAAGAACTCAAATCTGGACCATCCAAATAAAAAAACAAACGCACAAGATTAGTCCTCACGTCCTCACCTAAGATTAGGTCCTCACCTGATCCGGATTCTATATATATATGTGGTCATGTCATTAGGTGTGGTCGTGTGGTCGTATCTATGTCGTTGAATCATTTTAATCTAACGGCGGTGGTAATTCTGAGAATTTCCCCGCGTTTTGGTAAGTGAGGGTGTTATGGTAATTACAGTGGTCATTTATAGCGGGCGGGTTCCAGAATACACCAACAGTGTTGACAACATACACCAATAGTGTAGTAAAACACACCACAGTGAAACACACCAATAGTGTATTCCCGTGTTATGGTAAGTACAGTGGCCAATTATAGCGGCCGGGTTCCAGAATACACCAACAGTGTTGACAACATGCACCAATAGTGTAATAAAACACACAACAATGTGATTTTTCCTATGCCGGTGTTTTATGACGAGTTTACCCTTGCAGTTCGCTGGGTAGGAGAATATGCGTGAAAATACTGGAAAAACCTTGATTAATATAGTTCATTGGATCTATCTAATCTAATGGCCTATAATTGACCATATGACCACACCTAACAACACGGCCACATGTGATCACCCCTCTCTCTCTCTCTCTCTCTCTCTCTCTCTCTCTCTCTATATATATATATATATATATATATATATATATATATATATATATATATATATATATATATATATATATATATATATATATATATATATATATATATATATAAATAATTAGAATTAAAATGGCAAAATTTATAAATATCCAAAGTTATCTCACATAACCTAAGAAAATGAAGGGAATCAAATTCCCTTCAAAAGCCTATGTGGAGGGAATATTTCATTCCCTAGGAATGTTATATTCCCTCAGAGAATATGAACCAAACATATGAATGTAAGCTCGAAAATATCACATTCATTTAGTTATGTAATATAACCTGAACCAAAAGCCCAGAGGCTTAGAGCATTGCATCATTAAGGAGCAACAATTATATAAGGCCAACACACTTATAAAGGAGAGAGCCGTAATTTTTAAAAGACCATTATACTTGTAGTATAACCGTTATATTTTGTAGCTATTGTCTAGTATAAAAGTCATGCTCCTGTGATACAGGGAGACATGCTAACAACTTGTGCTCACAATTGTTAACAATACAACCTATCTTAATTTATTTAAGGAATAAGGTTTCAATTGGCCACTGAACGTAACCTGAAAATTCAATTAGGTCACTGAACGAAAAAAAAGCGCAATTAGGCCACTGAACACTCCAAAAACGTGCAATTTCACCTGATAGCAGGTTACCATCAATTTTAGCAGGTTACCTACTTACGTGGCAGCTGAGTTGACATTTTTAATAATTTTTAAATAAATTTTAATAAATTTTAAAATAAATTTAAAAAATAAAAAAACACGACAGGGGCCACCTGGAAATACGCAACTCCGTCGATTTTATTTTTTTAGGTTTTTTTTTAAGATTTTTTAAATTTTTTTTAAATTTATTAAAAATTATTAAAAATGCCAACTCAGCTGCCACGTAAGCTGGTAACCTACTAAAATTGATGGTAACCTGCTATCAGGTGAAACTGCACGTTTTTGGAGTGTTTAATGGCCTAATTGCACTTTTTTTTTTTTTCGTTCAGTGGCCTAATTACATTTTCAAGTTACGTTCAGTGCCCAATTTGAACCTTATTCCTTTATTTAATTACTTACACATAATATTTTCCGGTAACATTCTTATCGTCAGGCCTCAGCCAAGTGTGGTTGTGGCCAAGGACATGCCACGACCAACTATGGCCGAGGATAGGCCTCAGCCATGGTGGCCACAACACTGAGATCTGTCCTTCATTGCCAAAGACCTCAACCGTCCCGAATCATGTTTTTGGTCACTTCTATCACGAGTTCTATCTTCAATTTTGAGTTGGGTACGTGTTGGTGTTATCGCATGGGGATCAAAATTAACTATGGAGGGTGACTTTGGCTATTATTATTCCCTAGCTAGCTAACTCTGCTTCTCGCAACTCGGTAGTAAGGGCTAGTGACGGGATAATTGGATAAATTATTGAACCTGACTTGAAACACTCTTGGTTTAACTAGTCAAAGTAATTAAGGCGGTCAAATAGTAACGACTAGGCAAGGTCGATTTTTAGATTTTTGTGACCCCGTTCTGATAAATAAATGAGGCCCTACCAAAATCACAATCTTTAAAATCAATACCGTATTTTTCTGATAATAAGGTGGTAAAATGTTGCTGTGCGCAAAGAAAAAAATAAAAAAACATATTATGAAATAAATTACAATAATAATAATAATAATAATAATAATAATAATAATAATAATAATAATAATAATAATAATAACAACAACAATAATATTAACAATAACAATAACAATAACAATAACAATAATAACAACAATAACAACAATAACAACAATAACAACAATAACAACAACAATAACAATAACAACAATAACAACAATAACAATAATAACAACAACAACAACAACAACAACAACAACAACAATAATAATAATAATAATAATAATAATAATAATAATAATAATAATAATGTATAGAACTCGCAATGTAAAAGGATTAAAAAAAGGGAGATGTTGAAAGTTGGAGCAACACTCAAGTTTTGAACTTCAAACCTCCAAGTTAAAACTCAATAAGCACATGTTCCTACCATTCCTCCATAAAGCCATTTAAATTTAATTGAAAACTTTTAGTTTTTATTTCTAAACTAGCTAGGTAAAAATTAAATATCCGAGAGAGAAAATTTCAATTTTGGTCACATGACTATAGGGGCATTGTTAATTTCAGCACCTGACTTTCAAAAGTGTCAATTTAGTACCTTGACTATGTAATTTTTGTCAATTTTGGTCACTCTGGCCGAATTGACGGTCAAATTTGGCCGGAAAAATTTAATCAAACATTTAGTCTATAATCTGAGGGGCAAAATTGTCTTTCGATCCTTTCTAGACTAAATGTTGGATTAAATTTTTCCGGCTAAATTTGACCGTCAATTTGGCCGGAGTGACCAAAATTGACAAAAATTACAAAGTCAAGGTACTAAATTGACACTTTTAAAAGTCAGGTGTTGAAATTAACAATGCCCCTATAGTCATGTGACCAAAATTGAAATTTTCTCTATTGGAGATGTTCAAAGTTGGAGCAACACTTAAGTTTCAAACATCTGACCTCCAAATTGATATACTGATGAAGTGTCACAAGCCTTGTCCATACTCAGCAGGCAGCAAGGGCAGCAAGGGTTTTTAAGTCTTTTCCTTAGTTAGTTAGTTAGTTAGTTTTAACCGACAATAACTGCTTATTAAAGGCTCTTTTCTCTTGTAATTGTTGTTTTAGTTTTAATCTTCTGCACTTCAGTTTTCTCTGTAAGAGACTCAACATGAACTCTCCCCCAACATATATTTGTTCTTTCAATTCTCAATGTGATTCAAGCTGAAGTTCGACAAGGTATCAGAGCGTCATGGAAGTTACGCCGCAGCAGTTGTGATGAAACCAATCGGCGACGAGAATTCAAAC